CTGAACCTGAACTCTGTTTTCCATTTCAGCAAATCGCAGTCCCTGACAAACACCTTCAGCATATCAGAATCATCTCAGCGGGGAAATGCCAGTGAAGATGAAGCAAAAGCCGAGACCATTCGCAACCTGAGGAAATCATTTGCTAGCCTGTTTTCCGATTAACAGCCTCGTAGCTGGATCTGTGCTTTTGTCAGCCCCCACTCTTCATATTGGCATACCTGATGTCATCCTGGAATATACTCAATGGTACCCAGCGATTTGCAATTAACATCTGGGTAAAGGGAATTCAGAAAACTATAGTTGTTTTAATACAAAGAAAATATTCTAATAACTGTCTGAAAAGTGACTGTATAAAAGTGGCACTATTTCATTGGGTTTTGTGCATTATCAGAATAACATCTGTTCAAATGACTGACCTGTAAAGCAAATTTTAGTCTTGCTAACCCTTGTGGAGTCAGTGAAGTTATGACAGTGCAAACTAGATTTTGTTCTGATTTGTATATAGTCAATACAATTGCTAACTTCCAATTACTGAATCCTTGTTGAGGTAGAGCTAAAAAAAAGAAAGGCTTATTTCAAAAACGGATGTGCAAAGATAGAGTTAAGAATAAGTATTCATTGATGGATAAAGTGAGCATGCTTGAGCATAGAAACAGTGAACTGTGGAACTTCATGATACCAACTTTATAAATAAAGTCACTTTTCAGAGCAAAACTACATTCAATTTAAGTACAGTACCAGGCATCAGTAAACGCCAAAAATCACATGAGCAGGTCATCCAGATGGACTGCTGGTTTGTTCCAGATCACTCTGCTCATAGCAGATAAAACGTCTCTGTTTCATGCCTTGCATTTATGTCCCCTGCACGTGATTCTGAGTTCCGAGAGAAAAATGTCATGTTCTAACCCTGTAGCCTTAGCTCAAAAATAACCTGAGAAATGGGCCTTCCACACAAATAACAACTTCTTCCCCTGTCCCTGGAAACATCAGAGTTCATGTTCACAGTTCACACAAATTCCAGACAATACCCAAGCACTTTGGTGTCTTGGTCGCATCTGGCTAAGTATGTCCCCCAGGAATATGCTTAATTAATAGCAGAGCTGATGAAGTGCACATACTTGTGTGCTGAGTGTTCCATAATACAGAATGGACAGAGAGATAGAGTGAAATCCTGTCTCCCTCCTTGAACTCCCATTGACTTCACTGGGGTGAGTGCAAAATGAATGCAAGGTGACAAACCTGCAATAGAACAGGAAAACTATCCTTTACAAGTAAGACCAGCTGAGGTCCATCCAGAGACCATGGAGGGGCATGTATGGGATTGCCCCAAGCAGGTAATGATCAGTATTAGTCTTCCCCAGCCACCACCCCTGAGAATTGTTCCTCCAGAGAAGACAGAGGTGCATCTTTACCAGGTGTGCTTTTCCTCTAAGCCTGCAACACAGAATGAAGCTGTGTATGAGCACATATACTAGAACTGGGATGTGGCAAAGAACAAGAATGACGCAAACGACATTCATGATTGAAAAAAACACCTCGGGTAAATCAGCGTGTCTATGGCTATTTCTACCAGCTGAGAACCTAGCCCTTGCACCGTGGTAGTTCTATCTGTAACACACCTACTGCAAGCATCAGTCCCCATCCCACCTCCTGAACTTGATTCTTCAAGTTTTGTGCAGTACTTTAGTCACAAACCACGCATACAGCTTCAAGACCAGACTTTGGGCTTTGTGTTTCCCTTAGCAACTTCACACTGATGACACTTCGGAATCCCAAGGGAGGCAGGGAGGTCAGTAAGTTAAAAACATTTGAGCCGATGGCACAGATCTTTGCTGCCACTTAAAACAGGGAGATGCCCAAAGCAGCAAAAGCAACAGCAGCATTTGCCATCTTGGATCTTAAGATTCACTGGTGGGAATAAAGCCAAACAAGCAATTCCTTCCTGCATAGCAGCTGTAATGAACATCTAAATCCAACAGAGTCATCAGGACCTTGTATGACCTATCCCTGAGCAGGCCTTTACACATGTAATGGCTTTTGTGACCTATGCACTTTCAGGCAAGTAATAGCATAGCTTTTCCAGGTTGGAAGGCTCTCGAGAGACTCATCTGGATCAATGATTTATACCTCAAATTCAGTATTATAGAACCACCCTATTCCCTAATGATTTTTTTTCAGTTCTGTGTTCTCCTTCCAGGTTTGCTAAACAGTTTACAATGTAGCATCATAAATACATGTCATTGCCTGAGAAAATAAACAGACCCTGCTGTTTTGCAGTCTCCAGGAGCAGTAAGAGTGACAAATGGCCTTGAGCGAGCACTGTCCCACTGGCAAGAACAATAGCAGATTAACAGGCTCCACTATATGGAGGTAATACAACCCTGGTGGGAGAGGATTTCCTTCTGTAACACTTCCCTCA